TTTTTTTTTTTTTTTTTTTTTTTGTTGTGTAAAGTTGCTTTACAAAATTCTATATTTGTTTTTAATACCGAATAGAAATCATATAGATGGTAGTAGTAGAGTAATAGTATTATCTATGTATGTGTCAGCCTCAGTAAAGCGTGGAAAAAGAAAAGCAAAATTTCCCGCAAATGTCAAGAATTCGGTTCAAAAAGTGACATTTTCAGTTGGGTTATAAGTTTGGGATGCAAACAGATCTCTAGAAATATTTTGTTCACAAAAATGTCCAAGATCGATATAAAATGGTTTAATCGATTTAATCGACCAGTCCTTAACCCTAGAGACATCTATTGGAAGCCGCGGAAGCAAAGTTGTAGGCCAATATTATGGAAAATTTGAATCTACTCACCCTTCTCAACGCACTCAGTAGCGCAATCTCGCACTGTCGACAATTCGCTTACATATTTCTGAAAATAAAAAGGAGTAGACAACAATTAGATATTTTTTATATGAAGACATGTGCTCGAAATAATTAAATAAACCTTTAAGAGTATCTTAGTATCTTACATAAACTCTAATATATCTTCATACAGCAAACAATCTCAAATTTTAAAGAGGATAACTGCCCAAACATAACTAACCAGACAATTTCATTCAAGACAAGAAAAAACGTTAACTTCGGCTGCACCGAGGCTAAATACCCTTCACAGGTGCATTTCTGTTAGTAACTATATGTTTAGTTTGTATGGAAGCTATATGGTATCGTAATCCGATGTGAACATATTTTTTGGAGATTATGTAATTACCTTACGTAGTAATCCAAATTTCGTGAAGTTTTCCATACAAGAACTCGATTCCGATTGTTCAGTTTGTATGACAGCTATATGCTAGAGTAATCCGATCTGAGCAATTTTTTCGGATATTACATTGTTGCCTTAGAAAATAATTTAAACCAAATTTTGTGAATATAGCTTGTCAAATGTAAAAGTTTTCCATACAAGAACTTGATTCCGATTGTTCAGTTTGTATGGCAGCTATATGTTATAGTGGTTCGATATCGGCAGTTCCGACAAATGAGCAGCTTCTTGAAGACAAAATGACATTTGCAAAATTTCAAAAGGATATCTTAAAAACTGAGGGACCAGTTCGTACATATATACAGACAGACAGTCGGACAAACAGACGGATATGGTTAAATCGACTCAGCTCGACATACTGATCATTTATATATGCACTTAATGGGGTATCCGACTCTTCCTTCTGGATGTTATAAGCTTCGTTATACCCTGTTCAGGGTATAAAAATTAAGTACACTAATGAGAGGCATATGGTAGTATAAATGAAAGCCTGAAATGATAAACGAAAATAATCGCAGCTTTGGATTGAGCTATTATTTACCACTGAGAGCATACTCTGCCTTTTCATTGCGACAATGTTTATGAAATTTCTCTCAAATATGAATTTATTTGTCAACCGATTTAAGTTAGGGAGGTAAGAAGCGAAAACAGAAGCCAAATATATCTACTCTAGCATGAAGTGTAGCATTGTGTTTACACAAAATTGGGTGGGAAGTAACTAGCCATCAACATATAATATACACGAGAAATCTAACCAAATACACAAACACGGTTACGCGATAATTCGAAGAGCGCAATCTAAAATCTACATCTAAATGACTGATAAAATTTTTTTAAAATTATAAGTAAATGAGGTAATGTTCAAAAACAACTACTGTGTAGTAGTTGAAACTTTTTAATATTAGTCAACCCACCTGACACAGTGTTTACAACCGTAATACCATAAAAAAGTAAATGTTTGACAACACTATATACTGGTTTGAACTAAATAGTAAGACTTTGTTCATAACTTTAAAATACTTAATTCATTTTTGAAAACCGATACCGTCCCCCTCAAAGTAATCCCTCTTGGTCCCAATACAAACGCACCAACGTTTGTTCCAATCCTCGAAACAGTTGTTAAAGTAAATTGTATTAACGTTCAATGCCTTCAATTGACTCAAAACGATTTCGTCGGAGCAGTCGTTTGAGTTAGTTGAATGGTCAAAACCCACACGAAGCTAAATCAGGCGAATACGGTCATTGCGTCACGATATTGGTGGAAAATTTGGAAAAAACCTGTACACCAAACCTCGAGAATCGAAGAAAAATATCAACATAATCTTGATCTTTGAACTACTTTGACGTGATTCTCACGGCTCACCTTTAACACAATATTTGACACATTGATCGTCGTTTTCCGGGTCGTAAGCATAGATCCTAGACCCATCGCCAGTAACAATATATTTAATGTCATACTGCTAGTCGGAAAGCATTGTTTCACAGACGTTAACGCGACGCTGTTTTTCGAAAAAATTTAGTGATTTTGGAAGCAATCGCGCTTTCACTTCTCTAAATAGGATGAGCTCGTGTTTGATCGAGGGATTCTCTTTTTCGATTACAACTATTTTCGTTCAGTTAACTGTGATAAAAGTTGTACCTTATATCACACACCTTTGCCAAAAATTTTTTTTTTTTTTTTTTTTGTTTACAAATAATCCGATTAATCACGGTCAATACTCTTCTACTGGCCATTGAAATTTGATTTTATGATTTTCTGTTATGCTGTTACGGGTCCTGATCTTCAAACATTCACTACCTCCCATATAACAAAACTTTAAGTACTATCGAATGATTTCACCTTAAAGTCTATAAAACTCGCACCATTGTTTTTATTGTTTTCTGATATCAAACTAATTGTTAACAAACTACTCAATAATCGTTTATGCTGTCATAAATACAAGAATATTATTTGACGGTTGCGGCGAAGACCACCCAAAGGTGACGAATGACGAATGCCATAAATTAGAAATGATTAAAGAATAACATAGTAAATAACCCAACGCTCTCTCATATCATAAATAATTTCTTATCAATATTCGGTATTTAATAGTTTGTCTGTCATATCATCAAATAAAGCCATAAATAATTTTAATCAATGCCCCGATAGCAGCAATTAACTGATATATGCTTCCATTGCCAGACACATAATTGCTAAAAAATGTGGAAATAAATAGTGTGGAAGCAATTTAATACGCCTTTGATGGGCTACAAAAATCATATGGCTTCAATAGCCCTTTTTTCAAAGATCAAGCCACAGTGTTATAAAGCTGTTAAATTATTTTGGTTGAGTATTGTTTAGCATTTCATCATAAAACGACTTAAGCATAAATAATGTATATAAATTGTTCATCTTTATTATAGAAATTCACCTACTGAGCATTGCTCCATATTTCTACAAAACATGCCGGTGATAACGTAATCGTCAATGGTGACCGTTATCGTGCCATCAGCACCGACTATATGAAGCTCGTGATCTCGGCGAATTTGTCTCAACAAGACGGGGCCACTTCCCAAACATCGCATCAATCAATGGATTTATTAATAAAACACTTCGCTGAGCAGATAATTTCACGTCTTGGGCCGGTAAATTGACCACAAGATCATGTGATATCACATCGTCAGACTTCTTCCCGTGGGGATATGTAAAATCTAAAGTCTATGCGGAAAGTCCCGCTTCGATTCAGGCCTTAGAGAAAAATATCACGCGAGTCAGTCGCCAGTTGCCAGTCGAAATGCTCGAACGAGTCATCGAAAATGATGGATGGATCATTTGAGACGTAGCCACGATCATCATTTGAAAGATAATCTTGAAAAATCAAATGCCACAAATATTTTTTCGAATGATAATAACCATCCCCTGTTTGTGTGATTTCCTTAAAAAGTAGGGAACCGCTAAACGGATCACCCTTTCTTATTTGTATGTGATTCTGTATAGGAGTATTATTTTTAACCCGAGCGAAGAAATAAAAAAATTTTGATTTTCAAAAATTTCGATGCCGCTGGGAATAATAATCTCCAAATCAATAGTTGGGCGATAGTGAAAATTCTCTTCCAATTCCGTTTAAAATCAAGACGCAAAACGAAAGTGTTGGAAACAAAAAATATACTTCGGAAAACGTAACCTTAAACAAATTCGTGAATCGCCTTGAACAGCTAATCTAATCGCCAGCAATAAGCGTGCAAACGCAAAACGCCAGTATCTCAAGTATTTTTGCTGCAATAAATCTTAATATTTATGTATCTACAGCTATCTATACTCGAATTGAACAAAGTTCGCTACACCATTGAAATTTTGACCAGCAGGCTTCAGTTGATTTTTAACTCAAGACATTGCACATCATGTCGCACGCACGACGCACACTTTTCTTAGCCACACTCGCCTGTGTACTCTACACCGCATTGGCGCTGCCGCCATGCGCACGCGATGACGAGGATTGCCGCGAAAGCCGCATGCATCCCGATCTGCCGGATCTGCCGCAGGGCAGAATACTGCCACGCAAAATCGATGGCGATGACACGAACGATTATTGGCGCAATCAGGGCAAGGAATTCATCCAGACTAAAATGGCACAGAAGTTAAATACGCAGAAGGCTAAAAATGTGATTTTGTTCTTGGGTGATGGCATGGGCCTCACCACGCACTCGGCTGCACGCAATCTCATCGGCGGTGAGGAGCAATATTTATCCTTCGAGAAATTTCCCTACACTGGTCTATCGAAAACTTATGCCGTCGATGTTATTGTGTCCGACTCGGCGAATACCGCGACTGCATTCCTATGCGGCGTCAAAGCCATGAAAGGCACAATCGGTTTGAGCGCACAGGTGGAACGCGATGATTGTGCGGCTACGCTGAATACCACCAATCACGTTCACTCGATCGCCAAGTGGGCCATGGATGCGGGCAAGTCAGCCGGTGTTGTGACCACGACCAGAATCACGCATGCCTCGCCTGCGGGTGCTTATGCGCACACAGCCGATCGCGATTGGGAGGATGACACCGAAGTGAAAGGTGATTGTGGTGCTGACACCACAGTGCAGGACATCGCGTACCAACTGATACATGGCGAGGTAGGCAGCAAGTTGTCGTTCATGATGGGCGGTGGCAAGCGACATTTCATCGACAGTAAACTATATGAGAATGGCACGCGTAGCGATGGCCTTGATTTGATCGATCAATATAAGAAAATCAGTGACCGAAATGCCTTTGTTGAGTCGCGCACTGAACTCAACAATTTGAACTTTAGCAATGTGGATCGCGTGCTGGGTATTTTCAGCGATAGTCACTTGCAGTATCACTTGGAGACCGATGCGAACTCACGCCAACCCACACTGGAGGAGATGACACGCAAGGCTATTGAGTTTTTAAGCCGCAACGAAGAGGGTTACTTTATCTTCATCGAAGGCGGTCGCATCGACACGGCACATCATGACAATATGGCGCGCTTAGCACTGGATGAGGTGGTAGAGTTCTCTAAAGCCATCAACGCGGCTCGTGAGTTAACCAGTGAAGAGGACACTCTAATTGTGGTCACTGCCGATCACTCGCATGCCTTCAGCTATTCTGGTTATCCAGTAAGTTAGCACGTTCAGTTATAAGTTTTTGAAATGTTCGCCTACATATACTTTCTTTCCGCTACAGTATCGCGGTAATGACATCTTTGGCCGCACACCTTCTACCCCCGGTGACTCGAAGCCTTTAATGACCTTGAGCTACGCAAACGGTCCGAGCTTTGAGAAATTCTACGATGTTACGAATAAGGAGCGTCGTGACCCGACTACGCTTGTCACCGGTGATGTTCATGATCAATTCCCCGCAACCGCTCCATTGGACTCGGAGACCCATGGTGGTGATGATGTTGCTGTATTCGCTTCCGGACCCTGGGCTCATTTGTTTACTGGAGTTTACGAGCAAAATACCATTCCACATATGATGGCCTATGCTTCGTGCTTGTCTGATGGCCTAACGGTATGCTCCACAGCTTAGACATCGGTTTTTTTAAATCTACATTTTCTATTAAAATATCTATATTTTAAAATAAATTATTGGTATCATTATTGAATAGTAAGAGTTAGTTAAGTTTTTTTATGAAGTTTGTGAGGCTTGTTGTTCTTTTTCATAGGTACTGTTTTAGACGTGGCGGGTTCCAAGCCCAGCGCACAAGCATGTGTAGGGGATGTTTCGCCTTCTCACTTTAGCTCGCCTTCAAACGGATGTTCTTATGCTACCCAGAGGATACTTAGTCTAAGGCCAGAAGTTATGAGGTGCTTGAGCTAAATGTAAACGAATTGTTTCTGGACACTGCCAAGTAAATGGCGCTCAGAGAACTTTTCTAACTTGTGTGAACACATGACTCCATCCTCCATCGTAATATTTAATGCTTTCGCTGTTTAACGCCAACTGGAGATTTCAAGTGAAGCCAGGTCCTGGTCTTTCGAAAAAGAGTGAAGGTCCTCCTCTTACTCTGCTTTCCCCGGCTCTACTGCTTCGAATACTCTCAAAGTTGGAGTGTTTTCATTCATTAGGCCCTCAGTTGGTCTAAAACGTTTAATACCGCTCCATAAGAGTATTTATAAAATATTGGTTTTGATATCTCTCTAATATGTCTTATATGTTGCCATACGGATTCATAACACTACCCTAATCCCTTAATGTTTCTATGATTTATGAACAACGGTATATCGGGGTCTTTACCTATAAATACGTAACATTTCATAAACTCATTGCTTTTGGCGCATATTCTGTCGTAATATCTGGGGAACAATCCCAATGAATTGTAACAGCAAACGATCTAGCAAGATAATCGTAGTTCAACTCAAAAAGCCCTGAAGTTAACAGTGTGTCAAAGCTTGCAGTTAAGTTAAAAGCCATAAAAGCTTGACTAAGCTTTGAAAGCTTTCTATTTTTACTGTAACCAAACTTAAGCTTTTTGGAATTGGAATTTTTCAAATCAGTTTTTATATTGCCCTTCACCAACAACAAAAACATAATAGTCGTGTTTCTAAGTCATTTGGCAAAAGCCTTTTTAGCAATTTAATCACTTTAATCATATCTCATTAACGTTTTTAACAAACGTTGCCAAATATTATTTATATAAGGGGACGGTTCCAGATATAGGTAACTGGTATATAAACTATTTATAAAATCCACGCTAAGAGATAACACCCAATGCTCATTGAAATAGTGGAGAGATTAGGCAGCATTAATGATAGAAAAACAAGCAAAGCGTTTACATGGCTGCACCGAAGCTTAAATACCCTTTACAGGTGCAATCTCCAAAGCATAAAAGTCTTTAAAGGATGCCTATCTTGATTTTCAACAATTTTTATATTGAGATTATTACTTTTTTCAACGATAATTACTTGCTATAGTGGTCATATCGGAAGCCCCGTGGTTTTCAATAAATATAAATTTATTACCAAAATAATTATTCCCTTCGTCCAATACCCGGTCCTAAATCAGTTTCGCTTTGTGTTTATGTGATTGAATAATGCGTATCCTAAGACACCGTACAGAGTATGCAGAACACGCTATTTCTGCTATGAAGTAGAGTAACGAAGAAGACCCGAAGCAACGTCCGTTGTGTTTAACGTCCTGCTGACGACAGCCTTACCCCACGGTACTCAAAAATTAAGGACCAGCGGCCTGAAAATACTTAGTATTTTCAGTACCAATTAGCAGTGTGGAATGGATACACTAACAGTCCATCCACTTTATGGAAGGTTTAGCTGTAGGTTTGCGGTCTCCCAAAATTCAACTCATGCAAGAATTAATGTCGAACGAGATCGCCGTAGGTTCATTGAGTGTTGACACTGCAGGAAATGTTTGGAGTAAATCACCAGGGAAACAACGGAGCATCTGTTTTCCGCTTGTTCCGCATTGGGAGCACTGCTTTGAAAGCATCTGGGGTCCGCACGGCATGATACACTTGAGGAGGCATCGGTAGTGTGGCCGTAGAGTCTGTCAAAATTCGGGTCAACCACAGGCATCCTAAAATAGGACTACTTTTCTTGGCCCTAGGAACTGAACACCATCTGGTATCGGAGAGCACCAAAACCGGTCTATACGTGGCTTATTGACCTACCAGTTTAAAATAGCCTACCATTTATTTCGCGTCGAGGGCCTCTGTACTATTTTTTGTGGGATTATGTGAAGTCGCTGGTCTTGGAAGAGAATATTCCTTAGCCTTATTGCTGACATACCTTCTGATTTGCTGCAAAAAGTTATCAAAAGTTGGTAGATTTTATTCAAACCAATCGATATATATCTAGTTAGACAGTCGAACGTTGAGACGGGCAAAGCTAAGTTGGCTCAACTCGTTACACTGAACACTTACACATATGCACTTTCTAGAGCCTTCGACGTTTCGTTGTGAGTATTACAATTAATACCCTGTTCAGGCCATAACTATTGACCGTCTTGAAACCTTAAAAAAATGTCGGTGAACAAAAATTGTTTCAAAATCTTATCGGGACAGCCTCAAATGGCCAGCTTTAAAAAAATATACACCATTTTATTGGCCCAAATTTGAAAACGTGTTGTAGAACTTATAAGAGCACCAATTTTTATATCCACCAATTTGATAACCTGATAATTTAATAGCAGCATTCGGAATATTGTGGGGCTAGTTGATAAGATTCGAGTGATCATAAATCAATTTGTAACAAAACCTATTAAGCTAAACAAATCACCTGAAAGTCTCGTTTATAAACGATACCGCTTTCACCGCCCCAACGCAAATGGCACATGTCTCGATGGCAGACCAATAAAGCAGCATTGGTCTCTCACGTGTTCGCCTTATCGTTAACTTTTGCACATTCTAAGAACATAATAACTTCACAAAAAAGAAACACAATTACATATAGCATTAGCGGTATTTAAGTGATTTTAAGACGAACTTTTGGACAGTCTATCATTTACTCACAAATCATAAGCTATGTCGCGACTAAAACTCGGCGGAATTGTATGTTGTCTACTGCTGCGGACTGCATATACAATTCCAGCTTGCGCGCAGGACGATGAGGATTGTCGGGAGAGTCGCATGCATCCTGATTTAGTCAGTGATCGCGGCAGACTCACATCTCAAAGTAAGATTGCAGGCGAAGAAACCACAGAGTATTGGTTGGACCAAGGCAAGCAGTTCGTGAAGGAAAAGCTACACACGCCAGCCAACCAAAATATTGCGAAAAATGTTATAATGTTTCTGGGCGATGGCATGGGCATCACCACACACTCTGCAGCGCGCACTCTACTAGGCGGTGAAGAAAAGTCGCTCTACTTTGAAACATTCCCACATACTGGGCTGTCACGTACCTTTAATGTGGATAAAATTGTGCCTGACTCTGCATCCACGGCCACCGCATATCTGTGCGGCGTCAAAGCCATCGGTGGCACCATCGGCGTTAGTGGTCATGTGGACCGTACCGATTGTGTCGGGTCGATAAACGCCACATACCATGTGAACTCGATTGCTAAGTGGGCGGTGGATGCTGGCAAATCGGCAGGTGTGGTGACCACCACCAGAATAACACACGCCTCACCGGCTGGCGTCTATGCGCATGTTGCCGAGCGCGATTGGGAGAATGACGGTGAGGTGAAAGGTGATTGTGGTGCTGACACCACAGTGCAGGACATCGCATACCAACTGATACATGGCGAAGTGGGCAGCAAGCTATCCGTCATATTGGGTGGTGGAAAACGTGAGTTCATAGACTCGAAATTGTATGCGACCGGTAAACGCAGCGATGGACGTAATTTGATTGAAGAGTACAAACAGCAAAGTAATCGAAATGCTTATGTCGAGACGCTTGATGAATTGAATAGCTTGAATGTAACTGAAGTGGATCGCATTTTGGGGCTCTTCCACGACAACCACCTGCTTTATCATTTGGAAACGACTGAGCAAAGCAATCAACCCACATTGGCGGAGCTGACCCGCAAATCTATAGAGTTTCTAAGTCGCAACGAGGAGGGATACTTTATTTTCATTGAGGGTGGACGCATCGATCATGGTCATCATGACACTTATGCCCGCCTGGCTATAGATGAGACGCTAGAGTTTGACAAGGCCATACAATTGGCGCGTGAGTTGACCAATGAAACGGATACTTTGATTGTGGTCACCGCCGATCACTCGCACGCCATGACTTATTCGGGTTATGCGGTAACTATTTCTGCTTCTAGCCATTTAATTTTGCGTGTATTCATATTTCTATTATATTTTTAGGATCGTGACAATGACATTTTTGGCAGCACAGCTTATACGAGCATGGATGGGAAGCCATTCATGGCTTTAAGTTACGCAAACGGTCCGAGTTATGAAAAATTTTATGATGTCGAGAAGCATGAACGCCGCGATCCTACCACTCTGATAACGGGTGCAATATACGACTCATTCCCCTCCACAATTCCATTGGATTCGGAGACACATGGCGGTGATGATGTGGCTGTGTTTGCTTCCGGTCCTTGGGCTCATTTGTTTTCTGGTGTTTATAATCAAAACACCATTCCGCATATAATGGCTTATGCTTCATGTGTGGGTAGTGGCTTAAAGGCGTGTTCTACAGCAAGCTCATAAATCGTCTTTTGTGAATTTTTATGCATTTATTTGTTATTATATTTCATATTTATACGTTGCTTCTTTTACGATTAAAAGAAATGTAAGGACAGCCGTTTACATTTTAGTTAGGTTGAGCAGCTTCTGTCAGAGTAGCTGTAATTCCGAGTACAACCGGAAGCTGTCGGAATACACTCAATATTACGGTTACTTTTTCAGAGATGGACCTTGGTAAGAAATTCTAGCGAGAGCTAAGAACTGCCCTCGTGTGTTTAGTGTGGACTTCGTATACTTCGAGCGAGCTATACGACACGCCGAATTGGACTAAACTTTTCAGACTCATGACCGCAATAAACGTGATCACGTGAGCAAAAAAGATAAGTGAACAAAAGCTTGCAGCGAACATTTGTATTTGGTTTTCTAACTATTTCAGTTGATAAACGTCTTTTTTATCATAAATTCGAGAAAGTAGACTTCAGTGAAAATTATGCCACTCTTCAAATAATCATCATAGATCATACCTTGTAGAACCCAGAAATATGTGACCAGTCCATTTTCCGTCGCTGAACAAGTTTTTGCCTTCTTCAGGGTATGTTCATCCAGTGAAGTCCACGGTTTCGGCTGTTCTTTAGTTCTTTATATGTATCAATGATTCCATTTGTCAACCATCACGAAACGACACAGAAACTCCATCTACATTAAATTTCTATACTAAGAGTTCGATACGGCTCAAAGCTACATTGATGCACTTCATCATAATTTATTGTGATACAGGGTGACTTTAGGCATGTGGTCTTCAAAAAGACAATACTTTCTTTCCGACATATATATATATATATATATATATATCCGATACAATATATATATATATCCGATACGATATACAATATATATATAGGAGACATTGAAATTAGTTGTTGGTGTTGTGTTTTTGTAGCAGCAGAGTTCTGCAGAGTTCACAATGCTTCACCAGATAAAAAACCGGGTACGTTTCGGTTAGTAGACCCTATTAGTATATATGTAGTGAAATGATATAAAAATCGGCAACCCTCAATTTATAGTAATCTCTTTGATGTTTACAGTCACATCAATGAGTTTTTCAAATCCAAACTCGCTTTAAAAACCTTTAATATAGTCCATTTTGACTTGCAAATTTTATATAAAACATTTTTTTTTAAATAGAAATAATTTAAACGACATATGAACTGTGTGCTCTTTTGTCAAAAATGAAAATTACAGTTAGCCAAATATCACATTTGCAAGCAATAACTGTTTGATAGACGAACTGCCTTCAATTTGTGGCAGACAGCATGCAATTTGTATGCAAAATACGAACGCACGCAGAAGCTGAACACGGAATCACAAATCACACACACACATGCAAACATATGAAATGTAAATACACGAGTAAATTGCTTGCCACAAATTGCTAACGGAGCAAACCCATTTTGGTGCAAATTAACATTAAGATAACCTCACCGATTATCGCTGCCATTACTAAGATAGTAAATACAAAGCCACACGTACACGCACATACACACATACTCAAAACCAGCAGTAACAATTGCCGTTGAACGTTATTATAACGGTTTCAAGCTTTTATTGCAGGTCATAATGGCAACTGCCAATGCAAAAGTGCAACGCTGGCAAGAGTCGCAACACCAAATGCACAGGAGGAAGCAAATAAGCACGAGAATGGCTGCAGTCGTAGTGCTGGCATGCACACAGCATGAATATTCATTAACCGACATGTGTTTGCATGAGCTGTGCCAACCCCTCGACTGCAGCTGAGCGACCCAAGTGCAAGGTAAACAAAAAAAAAAACATTAAATGAAAAATGCACACTAAAATGGTCTAATGGGGAAAATGGAAATATGCTAGCATATATTTAAGTGCATGTCAGCGCAAATGCAAGCATTGAATCAACACAGACAAAAAAGTAAGCAAGCAAGGCAGCAGGCTGGCAATCATCGACGCATTGACAGTCGCTCGACGCACAAATAGACATATAATAAAGTACAAGCACTATGCTCTCATGGCGATACATTTTTAAAGCTTTTAGGTGTCTGCTGGAAGACAGCAAAAAGCTGTCTGTAGCTAACACACAGCAGCCAGTAAGCTACAATAATTTTTAAAAATAAATTGCATAATAGAAGTCTGCTGTTAGGCGCTGAGTTAGATATATGCGAAATAATTATATTAATTTCGCATAAATTTAGTTGTAAAATATTGAGTTTTTCACAAAACTGTCTTCACTTCTTACTGCTTTCTTCTACCTAAAAATATTTTATGTGTATTTTTCATCAATCATTTGAAACTCATAATAAATTATAATGTCTTCTAAACTGTCATTAACATTTTGTTGATGCAATATTTTTGCGCCACTCTTTACTTTCGCTACCCTTCTCTTCGGCTCTTGATTTTATGACTTTCAAGAAGCGACGGCCTCCAACCTTCTTTCGCTTAAGCTGTGCATAAATTACAGGTGCATCCATATGCGAAGCGCTTCTTTCTTGCTTTCTTCTGCTACAAAGTGTCTTTATTTGTTTGCAGAGGTGAAAATTATTTCCCAATAAATCTATGTCATAATGTTGATTAAAGAGGGTCATTTTTATGTACATATATGGTAGACTATCAAGGCTGCATGCACCGTAATTGCGAAGCAATAACCTTCAAAGAAAATTTATTGCTTATAAATATGTAAATGAACACGGCGCATGAATATATTTTGGCAAGAATACCTTTTTTGATGCTTAGCTATAATTTCTGGAAAATACATTCAATGCAGGATAGAAGAAGTAATGTCATTGCGGCACGTGGTTTTTAAACATATTCATTCAGGATTACAATTAAGCTTAAACTGTTGAAATTATGAATTAATTCTTTATTTAGCTTAAAAATCAAGGGCTTAAAGCTCAAGTACAATGCAAAAAAGCCACACACCAAGCTTTTGGAATAATTCCGATGAATATTGATATATCGATATGTAATGCTTATTATTATTATTGTTCGTGGATATGTACTTAAATATTAATATATAGGAACCGATAAACAATCGATATTTCGATGAAAAATATCCAGCACATCAAATTTTTGAAATAAATCCGAGAAATACTTATCAATATACGCATACTATTATATATCATCGACAAATGGATAATAATATTTTTATCGATTATACGTAAAGGAGAATTTCTAGGATATCAAATTTCAAAATTCCGTTGAATATTGATATATCGATATACACATATTTATTACTCATTAAATATCATCGATATTTACTTAAATATAAGCAGTTAGGTATGGCGAAATTATCGATATTTCTATAAATTATGTTATAATAATATTTTTATCGTTTATATAGAAAATTTTCAGCATATCAAGTTATTGGATTAATTCCGTTTAGGGTTGATATATCGATATACGCATATTTAATGTCTATAATTATAATTCATCGATATTTACTTAAATAGAGGGTTATCGATAAATTATACGTAATGAAAAATTTTCCAGGATATCACATTTTATAATTTCGATAGATAATGATATATCGATATACGCATATTTAATGTCTATTAGTATAATTCATCGATATTTACTTAAATATGAATAGAAAGGTATCGATACATTATCGATAAATCTTAAATATAATATTTTTATCGATTATACGTAATAGAAAAATTTCAGCATATCAAGTGTTTGGAACAACTACGATAATTATTGATATATAGATATAAGCATACTTAAAGTATATCATTTTTATTAATTGATGTATACTTATCTATAAATGGATAGGTATCGATAAATTATCAATACTTCAATAAAATAAGTTATAATAATAGTTGCATCGATTATGCGTAATAGAAAAAACATCGCATATGTTACTGTTTTGAAACCCGATATACGTATATCGAATATCGATAATTTTCGACTAAAATATTATCTTGTTATTAGAGACCTTAAAAATATCGAATATCTATATATTAGATATGAACTATCGATGCTGCGACCACAAACATATCATCTCGTCTATCGAAAATATCGACTTTTCTTATGTTTCCCAATCCTATAACACGACTTCTTCTCATTGAATAAAAGTGCTTTTGATGGAAGTATAAAACTGGTATGAACTCTTTCCAGAAATGGTAGACGCGACCTGTAAATTAGGTGAAATAAATTTTACAGTTATGTTATTAGAATTTAAAATCTAATGCCTCGGAAACTTCGGATAAGAACATTTTCGTCTGTATTCTACACAAACTGAGAAAAGCTCACAAAATATTTGACAGAGCTTTATATCGAAAGTTTTTCTTATTCCAATAATCTTGAAATGTTAATTATTTTGTGTTTGGTAGCTATTTCTTAAGGAGGCGAAAAATTGTTATTGTCAGTCCGGGTCAATTTTGATCAGTTACTCTGTCATCCTGTTCCATTAAATGCCTAGAAGCTTTCAACCAAACATTGAAATTGACACGAACAAATAGTAAACAACATTGATTCACTCTTCGCTGCAAACAATATGTTGCTGATCCACGAAGATAAAAACAAAAAATGCAGTGAAAGCAAAAATTGAAATGAAAAAACACCTGTCAAGAACTGAAGATAAAAACAACATATTATTTCGAAGACAAAGCAGCTGTCAGGCTAAACCATTTTTGAACTCTACATATGTGTTACGTATGTATATATGTTATGTGTGTATGTATATAAGCACATATTTTAGTTTTTAGCCTCACTTTATGGGCGTCAAAATGCCACAACATGGACTTACTTAGCCGGCAATGTGCCACATCCTTGGCAGCGAGCTAAGTATGCATGTGCTGAGTGCTGCCTCAAAGGGAGAAGAGAATGTGTGTGTGTTTGCATAAATTGCCAAAATAACAAGGCAAAGAGGCCGTCGAGTGCTGACAGTTGCAAAATGACGTTGTTATGTACTGAGAGATATATGCTGAGCAGTGCAATATACAATGCCAGACATTTATGTTTAAAGATGGATTTTAAGATAGTTTCAATACATGAAA